AATACCATGGGTGGCCATCCAATACCATGATTTAAACTGGTACATTGACTGAACCAAAACAAAGTCTTTGACTACCATGGGTGGCCATCCAATACTATGATTTAAACTGGTACATTGACTGAACCAAAACAAAGTCTTTGACTACCATGGTTGGCCATCCAATACCATGATTTAAACTGGTACATTGACTGAACCAAAACAAAGTCTTTGACTACCATGGGTGGCCATCCAATACCATGGTTGGCCATCCGATACCATGATTTAAACTGGTACATTGACTGAACCAAAACAAAGTCTTTGACTACCATGGGTGGCCATCGAATACTATAATTTAAACTGGTACATTGACTGAACCAAAACAAAGTCTTTGACTACCATGGGTGGCCATCCAATACCATGGTTGGCCATCCGATACCATGATTTAAACTGGTACATTGACTGAACCAAAACAAAGTCTTTGACTACCATGGGTGGCCATCCAATACCATGGGTGGCCATCCAATACCATGATTTAAACTGGTACATTGACTGAACCAAAACAAAGTCTTTGACTACCATGGGTGGCCATCCAATACTATGATTTAAACTGGTACATTGACTGAACCAAAACAAAGTCTTTGACTACCATGGTTGGCCATCCAATACCATGATTTAAACTGGTACATTGACTGAACCAAAACAAAGTCTTTGACTACCATGGGTGGCCATCCAATACCATGATTTAAACTGGTACATTGACTGAACCAAAACAAAGTCTTTGACTACCATGGGTGGCCATCCAATACCATGGTTGGCCATCCAATACCATGATTTAAACTGGTACATTGACTGAACCAAAACAAAGTCTTTGACTACCATGGGTGGCCATCCAATACCATGGTTGGCCATCCAATACCATGATTTAAACTAATACATTGACTGAAGCATAACACTGTATTTAACTACCATGGTTGGCCATCCAATACCATGGTTTGAACTATGATTCCTTATTTTTGTAGGCACCAACATTTGAAATAAAAAATGCTTGGGTTCGCGAAATTAGAAGAGTATTACAAAGTCAGTTTGAAGCAGCTAAAGGTGAGAGTTCTTCTGTAATTCATCATAACTGGATTAGACATTTGACAAGTGTCTCTTTTATTTTAACATTGAACCTCGGGGTATAATGATGTTTGCTACCATAGTAACACACAATGCTATACTTTTACTTGTATGTATGTTTTTATGCACATGTGTATAACAAATACGACTTGATGATATTGATTGTTGCTATAACAACAGTATATTTAAATTTTTCTATTTTCATCACTAGCTACAAGAAGGAAATCCACAAGCGATAAAACAATACAAAATATTGAGAATGCAAATAAACATCTATCACTGCCTGGGAGGACAAAAAGGTAAAATGATTTAATTGCTATCATAATAAATTGATGTTTACAATTATAAACCATACTGTAGGTAGAATCTTGTAAATGTCACTGAGGATTAACCCTTACTTAATTACTTGTTAGCTCTCATTATGCAGAGAACAAAGTAAGGAACTATGTCATATGATCTTCTAATTTACACATTGCTCCAATTAGGTTGCCCTCTCCTAACACACCGCCACCAGCTAATGGAAATGGTAATGTAATAAGAAGACACAGAAGATCGCCCTCTATTGATAGAACAAATGCCAATGCTTCGCCACTGCCAAGTGATGAGATGGGTGAAGAAAGTGATCTGGAAGGTTGGTCCACTGATGAATTTACTGATGATGATATGAGTGAAAGTGGTAGAGATATGTGTAAGGTATGTATTGAATATATCACATGGACATTGTTACCATAGATACTGTGATGTCACCAGTATACTCACATACATATCACATGGACATTGTTACCATAGATACTGTGATGTCACCAGTATACTCGCATACATATCACATAGACATTGTTACCATAGATACTGTGATGTCACCAGTATACTCACATACATATCACATGGACATTGTTACCATAGAGACTGTGATGTCACCAGTATACTCACATACATATCACATGGACATTGTTACCATAGAGACTGTGATGTCACCAGTATACTCACATACATATCACATTGACATTCTTACCATAGAGACCGTGATGTCACCAGTATACTCACATACATATCACATGGACATTTTTACCATAGAGACTGTAAACTCACCAGTATACTCACATATATATCACATGGAGATTGTTACCATAGAGACTGTGATGTCACCAGTATACTCACATACATATCACATGGAGATTGTTACTATAGAGACTGTGATGTCACCAGGTTACTCGCATACATATCACTTGGACATTGTTGGCATAGAGACTGTGATGTCACCAGTATACTCACATACATATCACTTGGACATTGTTACTATAGAGACTGTGATGTCACCAGTATACCCACATACATATCACATGGACATTATTATCATAGAGACCGTGATGTCACCAGTATACTCACATACATATCACATGGACATTGTTACCATAGAGACTGTAAACTCACCAGTATACTCACATACATATCACATGGACATTGTTACCATAGATACTGTGATGTCACCAGTATACTCACATACATATCACATAGACATTGTTACCATAGATACTGTGATGTCACCAGTATACTCACATACATATCACATGGACATTGTTATCACAGAGACTGTGATGTCACCAGTATACTCACATACATATCACATGGACATTGTTACCATAGAGACTGTGATGTCACCAGTATACTCACATACATATCACATTGACATTCTTACCATAGAGACTGTGATGTCACCAGTATACTCACATACATATCACATGGACATTGTTACCATAGAGACTGTAAACTCACCAGTATACTCACATATATATCACATGGAGATTGTTACCATAGAGACTGTGATGTCACCAGTATACTCACATACATATCACATGGAGATTGTTACTATAGAGACTGTGATGTCACCAGTATACTCACATACATATCACATGGAGATTGTTACTATAGAGACTGTGATGTCACCAGTATACTCGCATACATATCACTTTGACATTGTTGCCATAGAGACTGTGATGTCACCAGTATACTCACATACATATCACTTGGACATTGTTACTACAGAGACTGTGATGTCACCAGTATACCCACATACATATCACATGGACATTATTACCATAGAGACCGTGATGTAACCAGTATACTCACATACATATCACATTGAGATTGTTGCCATAGAGACTGTGATGTCACCAGTATACTCACATACATATCACATTGAGATTGTTACCATAGAGACTGTGATGTCACCAGTATACTCACATACATATCACTTGGACATTGTTACCATGGGACTATGATGTCATAAACGATCTGTATTTATTGGCAGGCAATAACAATGAATCAATATGCAGCATTATCAGAATACAACCAAGTTGAAAAAGGAGAGTTATCAATGAAAGAAGGTGACATTGTAGAAGTGCTAAAAGTTGGTAATGATGGATGGTGGTTTGTTAAACAAGTATCAAATAAAGAACAAGGATGGGTTCCTGCAAGTTATTTAGAGTCCTTAGCTAAAAGAGCCTCTAGATCCAGTATATCGATGGCTAGTCAAGGCAGCCAGAGCAGTGCTGGTAGTGGTGTTACACTTAATGTATGAGCAGAATGATTACGCATATATTCACTTAACCAGATGTTCACATTTATTTTGACCAATCATGAAATGCTAACTTGCCACAGATTTGCTTTCCCGCATATTTATGGAATGTGTTCTGTGATACGACAGTCACTGTGCAAAGTCTTTGGTATCTGGTTCTATCCAGTTCTATCCAGTTTCAATGCTTTTTGGTTACATCACTGCTTAGTACTTGACCCCCCCCCCCCTCATTCTGTGAAACCTCTAGATCTGCTATATCTCACATTATGTATAAACATTAGTTCAATTATTGAAATTCTAAGTATAACTCGTGGGCTTGACAGGTCTAACGTTTCCATCCCTGAATAATTAACTAATATAACACTGCCAATTTTGGGCGATTTGCATGAATGTGTGTTGACAATACCTAGTCTAATCATCATGTGTTACATCAGAGAGAAGAAACTTTAGAAAACTGTGATTATTTGTTATTAGTTGTATCTGTACAAGACTGGGATCCTTTTCCAATGTATAAAAAACAATTAAAAAATTTGAAAGATTAAAATATAAAAATAATATAAAATAAATGTAAAATATTTGGTAAAACTCTCAATTTTCATGACTATTATAATTTGGGGACAATTTGTGTTTTGTATAAGTATGTATTAGAGCTTGCAAAAAATAAATGTATATATGCTGAATGAGACGACGTGTATGGTGCATTCAATACTTCAACAATACTATATATTATATCCTAAACTTAAGAATGGATTTCAAAAAGATGTTGTGAACTGTGTATGCAGCACTTATTTACTGTACATTTCAAATATATATATGTTTTACACACAGAAAATTGAATTTAGTATTCAGCATAAAATATTCTAAGTCTATATTTATATGATGGTTTGATTCATCAGAAAAAATATTAAGCAATCATTGTGCAATAGAAGTGATTTCATCTATTTGAGTAACACATGATGACTTTGAGTAGGATTTATTTTCAGTATGTCACATCTCAAGTTCATAGTCAATTTTTGATCTCCAAGCATTTATTTAGATTGGAATGCAGTGGTATTTCTTCTTAATATATGAGAATGCAGTTATCTGTTTATTCAAGCTGCCAACACGAGCACCGTTAGTGACTGCTTTTGAAAGCAATTTGCGTTAAATTGTTAGTCACACCATATAATGATATTGGTGGTGTACCTAACTGTCATTTCTTATCAAATTATTTCAAGGAGGGTAAGTTTCCCTCCACCATTTTGTTGTGAAATATGCTGAAACAGTACTGACCTGTAAACATTTTGTCAAACATGTCCATTGTACTTGTCTGCTGTTCTAGACAAACTTGCACTCTTAAGATGTAAGAAATGGAGAATCGACCATTTGAGAAAGTCGGTTGGCGTTGTGTTGGTTTCTCTGCCATTCTCTCTGGATGTTGCCTGCTCTCTGCCAGGCTCCCTGGATGTTGGCTTCTCTCTGCCAGGCTCCTTGGATGTTGGTTGCTCTCATCCTCATGTCATTGTTATATATTATTCCTAAAGTTTATACAGACAATGTTGCCGTGTTATCTCTAACCAACCAGTATGGTACCAAGCAGGTGATGATAGCATGTTAACCATATTAGAAACAAAATTACTGAATTGTTAACGTTAATATATTTTATCTTGTTCATCAGGAAGTGACTGTTTAATTTAGGGTGTTTATGTTAGGTCCTATCAGCCCAGAATAAAGCATTGTGAGTAAGTAGACTATAGAGTGCATCAATACCAACCACTTCAAAGGTCATTATCTCAAATACTGGTGTACAATTGTAAATATAGATATATATAGTATAACTCTTTAAAACACAAATCAATCAATCAATAATATTTTAAAATATATCAAGATTCTTTATTGTAGTTTATACTATATTTCCTAAATTAGAAGTGCATCCAATGTAATCCAGACTGATGTTACTGTCACTGCCATATCGTTCAAAGCACCAAAACAGCAACATTGCTAGGCAATCACATTGTGATATTTTATTTATATTCAATGTGTCTGAGCGCCTCCCCCATGCTGTTAGTTTGGCGTCTCCTGTTCAGTTCGGTTTGTCCGTAACAGTCTCCAGGTTTTCATTGCAATCCAGTCAGCAACTTAGCTGGCAATGTTGCTGTTTCGGTGTTCAGAACATTATGGTGGCGACAGTAACAAAGTATTTACTATGCTAATGCACCTCTAATAGAGTAACCATGGTATATTAAATTTAGAACTCAGTCAAACCTCAGAGATGATATCATATAAAGTCCTTCGATGTAATTTATCTCATAACAGTTTTTCTTGATGTCATAACTTGAATGGCTCAATATGACGGTTACAATCACTGTGCAATCGTAAATACAGATCTGATAATATATGTACAATACCAATAATTTAAGTCTTGCTTACTAGCATACACTAAGACTTTGTTAAGTTCCATATGAAGCTCATATCTACATGTACTTTTTTTTTTAGTGTACTGTCTTTCAGTCTTATCGACAAATACCAAATCAAGTTTCCTCTGAAGGGGATATAATTTTTTTCAATTTTGTATCGTGCTTTATTTGTAGATTTTATTTGCTGTCTTTATATTTAGGCATTTTTCAAAAAAGATACATTTTTATTTGAGACAATTATTGCTGTATATATTGGGTTATTTTACTGTCTTCCAATGCTGGACTAAATATATTTCATTTCAGAGTACATTTTATGTTCCCCCAACATTGTTAATATAATTATAGATTTAATGTATCTTTTAAGAAATAAACTTTTTTTAGAGATTGACCAATAATTTCCAAAAGTCTTGAATAGTTATTTCCACTAAACTTGCGCATTATTTCTATGAGTGAGTTTAACAATTACATGATTCAAATCACCAATTAGAACATGGCCAGATGTTGTTATTTCACCTTATATTCAATTATGCATATTTTATGCAACAGAATCCGAGCATATACTGTATATATGGAACTTCAATGCATGCTTGAGGAGAGGATTTACAGTTGTTTTACAAGAAATAAAGTTGATAGGATTGTTGTGACCATATTATGCATATTGGTCATCCAGGTTAAGTTACTTAGATACCTCAGTACTGCTTATTGTTCGTCTAACTCAGTATAAAGGACTGTGTGTTGGAGATAAGATTTATATGGCAGCACCCGCAACCCTCAATCATAACTCTGCACAGTAGAAATTGGTGTGAATCATCCTGTAAAATTGGTGATGCAGTAATCATATTGATATTGAAGGCAAAATGTAACTAAGACAACTATTTGTGAGAAACTCCAAGCAACCATTAATCCTGAAAGTGAAACTGCCTGTTCAACTTGGTTGGGGGATCGCATGACTGTATTTATCCTAACACCTGACACTCGGTCCTGTATGGAGGGTTAGGGGTTCCTGTGTTATAAGTAGCCCATGGATATATACGTTCTATCACAGGCAATTTTAGAAATGTAAATCAAAGAACATAGTTAACTGGTTGGGCATGAGCTAGTTAAGGTACAAGAGGTACCGTAAATGTGTGAGCCCGGTCAACCATACATAACACAGCACATACATTGTATTAACAGAATTAAAAGCCTGATTGAAATCAGGTCATGAGAATTATTTTGTAATATTTTTGTTCACATTAACTGTCATTTCCACAGAAGCACTGCGTTTTCTGGACAGATATGCCTAAGTTGAACCTAAATTTAAACCATAAAAACAAAAGCACATTATAGATTGGCCACCTATTTCTTCGTTTATGTGAGGGCGCTGTCAACACCTTCGAATCTCCAATGGCAGTTTCTACAAGCACGGCCAGTCTATTACAAGCTGCAGTATATTGATCAGTAGTGCAAGACATTTAGTAAAAAGAAATGACGACTAACAGTACATTCCAATAGATGAATTCAGTAAAATATCAATAGGAAAATGGCGTAGTGGCGCCAGTGATGGATTCGCCAGTATATAACCTTGTTAATTTTGTAGACTTCTCTGTACCTTGTCCACAGTTTAAGTCACGTGATCAGTCAGCGAAAAACAGTCGGTATGGTTTTCAAATTAATATTAACTTTGTTCAGAGTTTGTGGTCCATGTTTATCAACCCAATTCTCTTATAAATTCCAATTTTTTTCTAAATTTCATCACACGGGAGTTGGGGATTTCTTTTATCGCGGACGTGTTTGTCTTCGACACTGTGTCATGTGTGGTAGATTACGAGTATTTTTCTTCTTTAAACATTTATGCTTGAAACTTGTTCAGGATCATCAACTGAATCTCCGATGAAGCCTATTTCACGTAAAGATAATAGCTGTATTTATTAAGACAGTTAGGCATTTGTTTACGTAAACACTGTCCGTTCATTAATCTCCGTAACTGACATGGGGTATTTCGGGAATGACTGCACTTGGGTCGAACTTCATGGTCCGATTCGAGAAAATGGGACGTGGACATTTTTGATGGTGTCATGACTATATATGGGTAGATGTTTGTTTGGATCCGAAATTATTGAGTTTTCGTTTGATAAACAATTGACGTCAGAGTTATATTATTCATGATGTGGTTATCTAAGTACAATTATAAATACTTTTTGTGATTTGGCAATGGTTTCCTATACATATAGACAGCGGCGGATCCAGGCTTTGAGGTTCGTGGGCTGGGGAGATTTTCCGCATTTGGGATGGCAGTTATATTTTTCTGCACATAAATGAGAGGGTCAAATATATTTTGGTGAGAGGTGGGGAGATTTTTACGCGTTTGGATGGTATTGTTATCGTATTCTCTATGGGACTTTCATTATAGAATACAATAAAGGTATAGCTATGAAAAAATAAAATAAAATTACAAGAATTATAAAACAAAGTTATTAATAGAATATAATACATTAAAATAAATGTTTTTATTTATTTTGAGGCAGCTGGTAGTACTCTCTTCAGTACTCTCTTCTATTTAGTATTGCAACTATTTTTTCTATGTCAGAAAGTGTGAAAGGTGGCAGCAAATTTTTGAGAAGGTTATATTTTTTCTTATAACGGCCGCATTTAAGGAGGAAGTGTTCTTCATTTTCTATTTCATTTAATTGACAAAACTTACATTTTCTGTTTGAAATGGCAATGTTTTTATGTCTTCCAGTTTCTATTTCTAACACATGAGCACTGATTCTTAGTTTGGTCATGGATGACCTGTGAAAGGGATTTTGCATTTGTCGACACTGCTATACATTTTGTTAACAGTGCCCTCTATATTGACTTTTCTTATGCAAGTGAACAGTGCCCTCAATGGCTCACCTTTGGGCGCCAAAATCTGTAACATGACTGGCCCAAATTCTGTGCCTTCTGTGGCCACTCAAGATCGATAGGTCACCCATTTGAAGGGTAGGATTCGGGTTAAACATAAGAGGCCAAAGCAGACAGCATGTCATTATGCATTAGTCAGACTGCGCCCTGAGTATCTTGGTGCATAACTAAATTAACCAAAAAAGAGCACACAAAATATCCCCCGTTGGCCCCATACGAAATGCTACAAGCATAACCTTACATTGCGGCACAGTGCATACAAAATTAATTGGATTTATTTCATTTGCGCTGTAGCTTTATGGCTATATATCATCAGAATACATCAAAATACTGAGACATGCAAATCCGTCATTTTAGGATTTTAACATTTGCCAATTTGTTAATAAAATGAAGACAAATTACCATGGAGATCATACGACATGTAGCAAAGTAGGGAATCCTACTTAAGGCAGTTTGAGTCGAATTCAAATTTTGCTCTACTGAGCATGTTACTGCACATATATGCAATGCATTGTGGGAGATAACCTCCCATTGTATAAAATAGAAAATTATTACCACCCTGGAAACTCATTGAATTATATATTGAAATATTTGGATTCAATAATAATATACGGCTTTCTCACCCCATGTCAACGAACACAATTTTTAGGTATGAATAAATAATTACACTATAGAAACCAATGGGAAAAATGACAATTTTGACCATTTTTCATGTGATTCGAGAATTTGGTATCTCGAAGAATCGTCTGCTAACGAACATGACAACTTAGTATAATTTTGATTTCGACTCGAGCGCCTTAACTGTATCATATGTCTTCAAATATGGATACAAAAATTATATACATACCCTTACAAGAGAAATATTTATACAAATATCAGTATATATTATTACTTGTTGAGTGCATTGTGGGAGTGAATAATAAAACAAATTTAATTTTGACAAACACGTTGGTAACAATAATGCATAGACTATAAGCGGCCAAAGTAAGCCATGTTATATACGTATATACAATATTATATTTGGTAGAACGTCCATTATCGAATAAATATAGAATTACACTAGTAAAATAGTTGCTATGAACACACCTATGCATAGATAATACAAGTATACTGCGAACAAATAAAATACACATTGTTAAATTCAATAGAGAATATTCTAAAAGTGAATAGTTTTGATTTAATACCACAGACGAAGCATATGTGTATATAGTCTAAATTATTAACGACAATATATTAGTCTTTAGATATCAGAGAATTACAAAATCAAACTCGATACATTAATCAAACATAACTACTCGATAGTCCTACTTTATCACTTTGGCAATCTAGTGCATGCAACCATAAACTGTAGATTGACTAGATTTAAATTAGGTCGACTTGCACGCATAAAATATCACCCAATAAATAAATTTGTAATTATTGCTATCTAAATTTCACCAGTATTTCACAAATCATGAACAAAAATTCACATAGAAAGTGTATGTTGCAATTGTGTATTTGATTATACCGGAGTAGCGTACAACTGCAGCATATACCTTTATTTACACTCAGCAATCCTGTTTTAAGATAATATTGCTTTTCACGGAAATTAAGGAGTTGTTATTACACATAAGACTGTATCTCAATTTACTTATGTATTTACAAATTTTAATTGTTAATGTTTACTGATAAAGAAGAATTATGAAATTAACAAGGATAAAAATATTATTACTTGTATAATTCTGCAATATCACGTGACCTCTAACATATATGCAGTTTTCTACCGATTTTACATGTGCGTTTATTTTAGTGGATAGTATAACAAGACACTATTTCGTGTCAAAATTTGTCTGTAATTAATCTTTACATTGTTAGTCAATTGTATGTGGACTTTTTATACTTATTGTTAATCTGTTTTTTGTGTGAAAACTTGTCAAATAATTTAGCAGCGGTTCCCATAGTACGCCAGTGTTCATAACACAACCTAAAAGATAAACTGGATATGCACACAGAAAGCGAACTACGCACATCTCAATGACACGCGCCCTCTTTCCCAGGTGTTCGTGGGAAAACATAATAAATGGATTCGAAAAAAAAATAATGCTGTCCGCAAATGAATAATCCTGTTTGAATATATCTAAGCGATCAATGGAATCGCTGGATAAATGAACGTCTCAGATGTGACGTGGTAACTTGCTGTCTTCACTTTAATATACTACAGATTATTATATAACGTAACGATATAAATTAAATTCTTTGACTCTTAAAGTTAAAATATCATGCGATATTTTATTGAAAACATTGTATGATATTGTCATTGACAATGTTTATAAAAGCGATACATTCTGGGGCGTTTTAGTATAAAAGAAAACAATATATAATTAAAAAGCAAATAATTACATTTTATAAATATCAAATATATTTTATCCTAAACTGATTTTGATCTAGCTACTTCGTTCCCTTTAAAGCGCAATTGTCATCGCACTACGTCGCGTTTGATGTGGGGCCATGTGATATATATATATATATTAACGTGTATTTCGGAAAATCTTAAAGGGCGGCAGTCGTCGTGCCGCGTCCTGTTCGATATAGGACTGTTAGCGACGTACACAACGCGTGTAAAATACATTGTTTATTTACATGAAATTCGAACACGCGCTGCGCGACGACCATCGCGCTTTAATCCGACGTTCTCCCGTCAAAGGCTTTAACATTACATTCACGTAACCAAACCTCTTAATTACTACATCGAACAAGATGTGAGTATGAAACAATTTTGTTATGACCGAATGTTGATGTTTTAGGGATTGGTCAGTTACTTCGGCCTAGGGG